AAAAAGGACCCCACGTGGCCCCGGAAGAAAGAGACATCCCCCGTGCGAGCCCCCCAGATGAGAAGAAGAAGGACACCCGATGACCCCCCAAAAATTAGGAAAGATGAAGAATAGATGATGAAAAGCTACCACTCGTGCCACAGCCGCCCCACGAGTCACTACCCGATTAAAGGAGAATACTTATTGTCAGGAGGAAATACTGTGTGAAGAAGAAAGAGTGTGAAGGACTAAATATTGTGTAAGAGGGACTATCAATGAAGGAGAAAGAGAGTGAAGAATACTGTGGAGGATTCTGTGCGTGAGAGGAACTATTGAGAAAGAGAGAAATATTGTGTGGAACTGTGAGGAAAGGAGTTAATTACGAGGAACTATTTCGGTTGGAGAACGTTTGAGAGAAATCTCGTGTGGAGGAACAGATTTGGGGAGAGGAAGATTGTACGGCTGAATCTCGTGGAGAGGATTCGAGGAGAGCCGGGAGAAGGAAGGAAGGAGGAGAGACCCCGAGAAAAGCGGAGAGAACTTTGAAGACACCATTCCCCGTGAGTGCCCCATTTTTTATTCCCTGCCCCAACGAATTTCCCTGCCCCGTGTCAATTTCCCCCCAACGGTGAGCCTCCAGTAAATTTATTTTAGTTGTAAATTAAGCCCCCTATTAATTATTACCTTTTTTGTCGGCCCTCCTCACTTCTCCCCCATTTTCCAGAGTTAGAGCCACCCCTCCTTTTTATTATATTATTTCGCGTAGCCGCAAGTGAGTTGGCTTTCCCCCCCGCCCTCGAGTTATATTAGTTAAAAGGCCCGGATTATTTTTATGTAATAGTTTGTAAAAAGAGTACAATACAGATAGTCAATTCATAAATCCCCCCGAGTAATTATTGAGAATCCCCCTCCCTCTTATTATTTCAGGTCCTCCCATAAAATATCGTAAATTAAAGTAGTTTTTGATGAATAAATAAGTCCGATTATGAAATTTGTTTCGCAAATATTTCATACTATTGAACCAATTTCATTTTTTGCGAAATGTTCGTCTGATTGTACTCGACATAGGTCATTTTATCTTATAGAGCTTTATTTTATAGAGCAGTTTTGGTAAAAAACAGAAAAATTGAAATATCTTGAAAAATTGGAACTAACCGGTATATATATTTTGATGGCTCCTTATAGCTGACATCAAGACAAATACGTTAAAAGGGAAAAGAATCATATCGGTTGGATAGTATTTGAGATATTCCAGAAATTAGATCTAGAAACGAATGAGAATTTCCCAAAAATGGCTATATTGATTGGGCTGAAATGTGGCACACCGTCGTCATTAATAACTATCATTTGACGAAATGAGGAATTTTTCTGAATTTTTTGAGCCGGATTTTGACCACCAGATGGACAACCACACATACACACGGGGTGATCAAACTTCTTATTTTTACGTTACAAACCGTTTCACATCGTTTCGAAGCGAAATTAAGAAATCGAAAAATAGATCGATTACAATGCTTCCATTCGGAAGCAAAAAGGGGTTAAATTGGCCGAATTCTTTTCAAGATATAAAGATATATAAAATATATATCTTTTTATAGATATAAAAAATCGAATATCTCCGGAACTACTGGGCTGATTGAGCCCAAATGAAATTAGAACCGTCGCTGTCAAAGAATGTTCCCGAAATTTTTCTTCCATTTCAGTGTGTCATTTCAGGAAGCCTCTGCTTAAAAAACGGAATGTCTTTTTGCTTCCCAATGGAAGCTTTGTAATCGTTAAATTTCGACTTTTTGTAATTTTCATTGAAAATGAAGCAGAATGGTCTGAAACGTAAAAATACGAAGTTTAGCGAGCATATCTGTATGCCGCCCCCCCCTTTCGCCGATTTTTGGAAATTAAATTTTAGAAAATATAACAATAAGAGAAAAAAAAAAATTCAAAAAAATATGAAATTTTGTGAAATTATAGATCCCACTTTGGACTAACTCTGGCCGTAGAATCGGCTCGATCAGTCCAATAGTTCCGGAGAAAAGCCTGTTCTTTTTTAAAAGTTTTTTGTAAATATTTGGAAAACTAGTTAGCCGATTGAACTATTTTTTCTTTTAAAATGTCCGTCTCGATGGCCCCTGTCTAGATCAATGAAAATCTATATAGCGGTCGGTACAAAGTTTTCAAGATATTTCCGTATTTCTGTTTTTTTCCAAAACATCGTTGTACGCGCTCCAGCCTCGGCAAAAATGGACATATCAACTTGAACTTTCGGAAACATTTTCATTCTTTGACAGCGACGGTTCTAATTTCATTTGGGCTCAATCAGCCCAGTCGTTCCGGAGATATTCGATTTTTTATATCTATAAAAACATATATATTTTATATCTTGAAAAGAATTGGGCCAATTTAACTCCTTCTTGCTTCCGAATGGAAGCATTGTAATCGATCTATTTTTCGATTTCTTAATTTCGCTTCGAAACAATGTAAAACGGTTTGGAACGTAAAAATAAGAAGTTTGATCACTCCGTGTTTATGTGCGGATGTCCATCTGGTGGTCAAAATCTGGCTCAAAAGATTCAGAATATTTCGTCATTTCGTCAAATGATAGTTATTAATGACGACTGTGTGCCAAATTTCAGTCCAATCAATCCAGCCATTTTTGAGAAATTCTCATTCGTGTCTAGATCTAATTTCTGGAATATTTCAAAAACTATCCAACCGATATGATTCTTTTCCCATTTAACGTATTTTTCTTCATGTCAGCTATAAGGAGCATTAAAAATATATATACCGGTTAGTTCCAATTTTTCAAGATATTTCAATTTTTCTGTTTTTTACCAAAACTGCTCTATAAAATAATGCTCTATAATATAAAATGATCTATGTCGAGTACAATGAGACGAACATTTCCCAAAAAAATGAAATTGGTTTCATAGTATGAAATATTTGCGACAAAAGAAGTTCATAATTGGACTTATTTATTCATCAAAAACTATTTCAATTTTCGTCTCAATTGAAATTTAATGATTTTTAAAAAATGGTTATAGAAAATTTCTTCGTGCGAATCGCAATAATAATTTAATAAATGATAATTGATGATTAATTATAGATGAATTAATCATCACCTATCATTATTTAGCATTTATTATTAACCTATGTTCCTTGCTTGAAAAAGTGAGGAAGAGAGAAAGAGAGGTAGGGATGGAAAGAGACAGGTCAACTGGCGAAAAGAGTTTCACGGGCCTTTCCATCATTTTCAGGCTCACAAATATCCAATGTTGTCATTCCGCGCACAAACACAGCGTAAATGTGACGCCACAGTAGCTGGTAACGCATGCGATATATATAGATATAGTGGACTTCCAGAGTAGAGGTCCTCAGCGCGGAGATATATTGAGGGGTGGAATCGGAAAATCGCGTCTACCTTCTAAAATATAAGGGATGGATAAAAATGTTTCAAATAAACTTTGTTTCATATTTAAGAATAAATAATTATGGAGGAAAAAAAAATTTTTTTCATGTATTAGATTAGAAGTTACCCTTCCTATTTCATAGTAATTTTTCGAATTAAATTATATTGCTATGAAAATATAATGACTCAGATTTTTTAATATTTTTTAGTATTATTTGAAATCGAAAAATGACATTTTTTTTATTTTTTATCAATTTTGTTCGCCTATCGTACATTTGAACAGCTGTAGGGGTTGAACGGTACAAAATAGGGATGAAGTGCATCATATGTTTTTTCTTGGAAATGTTTTGCTCTTCAAATTATATTGGACCTTTTTCTCTGTATCTAGTGTACTTTGCAAGTTAATCTCGAAAAACCATTTTTGAGGGTAGTTTTTAATTTTTTTCTCGGATTGCACAAACTTTGATCACTTAAAATTACTTGCCCGTTAATCAGACGATCAAAACACACATTTCTACATAAAAAGCGTCTTGGCTTTATGAAACACATATGTTAGACCTAACTTCCCTGGACTATATTAGACCCATTGCTCGGAATACAATACCCCAATTGCGTGAGGTTCAGTGTCGTCAGAGTAGGGGTAGCAGCGTGCACGAAGAGGGGTGCAGTTAGACGGAGAGCGCCGTGCGCTATTCCTCAAAATTTAAAAAGCCTTACCGCCGAAAAATTCCACCAAATATTGACCAATTCATCTTGAAAAATTATTAGTTGTACCAGGCGTAATTGTTAAAATATCGTGGTACCAGAATACCAGAAATTACCAGAAATTTATTATTTTTTAATCACCTTAATATTGAATAATTATTTCATTCTTAATTGAAAAAATATGAGTTGTCAGTTCTTCAAAATTTAATCAATGAATTATGAATTTAAAATTCAACTTATAAGTTTCGCGGACTCTTGTCAACGGAAATCACGGGAATTTCCACTTCTAAACTTGACATCTCATAATTTCATATATAAATAAAAAATTGTCGACAGCTTATAATACTATTAAAGTATTCCTATTTTCGTGTTTAACTAGAAATGGATGAATTTTCAAAGATTTAGCAGTGAGATCGATATAATGATAAAAAATTTGTTGATTTTTTATCATGAAATGAAGAACATGAAATGATGAAATTCAAATTTCTTCTTGCCGTGCTTTTTGAAGGTCAAAAATCTTTTAAATTTAAGTAACACTGTTACGTGCTGAACATTTAATTCCTGAAATGCAGAAAACGGGATTAAATTTTTTAAATACTGCTTAGGGAATGTTCAAAAAATGTTACCAAAAATTTTAAAAATTTTCACCAGTGTTTTCCAATGAATTGGCAACCAAAATAATCAATTTGGAGTGATTTATTAAACGGAATTTGTTGCACGAGTTGACATAGAAAAAAAATCGAGCAATTGATATTTTCATCAATGCAAAATACATCAAGAAAAATATTCATGTTTTTCTTATTTTTTTATTATTTTTATATAATTACTTTTATATATTATTTTTATTATTTTTATTATTTTTTATAATTGAATAATTATGAGTGCTCATGGTCAGAAAATTTAATGAACTCACAAGGTCTAGATCTATTCGGCATTCTGATCCTCTGATTGTGTTCTTCAAGTAAAGGCCTGCTTCTTGGTTTAACCTTCCAAAGATTCTCTTCGTACTCATCAACGACGCTATCCCTTTTTCTATGATCCATCCTTCTACCAACCATCTCTTTGAGCCGAGTTTTTCCACTCATATTCAAGACTCTTTTATTATTAGTAACATCCAATAAAACGTCGAGTCCTTTTATCGCTCGTATCATGAGACGCTTCCGCCACGTGGACTCCAAGGAATTTATCTGAAATAGCATTCGTTTCATATATTCACATTTAGTCAAGTGAGTGAAAGAAAAAACATTGGGTAATAGCAAAAATATTTAAAAAAGAAATACTGTACATTAAGGATTCAAAATGAATCGCCGTCAGACGCGAGATCAAGGCGTGGGTAAGGAAATCACATGGATAGAGAGAAAGACCTAAAGTTCAAAGCGTCCAGACCAGACCAACGATGAAGCTTAACGATCGAAGAAGTGCACATCGTCTTCTATATGTGCAAGTTTAACTTCAACCACAACCATGGTCAACGTGTTGCGCGATTACGCTCGTAAATCGTTCCGAATATAGGAGGAGACGTCCTCCACTGTAACTTGGGTATACATCCACCGTGTCAGTGTTATTATATTCGTACTGGCGATTATGAGAATGTGAAGAACCAGTTTTCAGTATGACATAGAAATAAATAAAGCGAGATAACAAAAAATTATTCAATAAAGGATTTATTAATTTCCTTTATTTGTCAAAGGTCGGAGCGATAAATTGTGGATTATTAAGTATGGTGATAAGGGAGGGTGTGTCAAATCTGGGGAACGGTTTCATTTATTGATTTAGCAAGCTCTACGTGTTCCAGTAGTTATTATTATTGACAGAGTTTCACAGAGGATTTTCTATAATTAAGGCCAACTTAAAAACGATTTGTTTTCTATTTGTAAAATGTTTCATAAAAAAGTTCCATGTGGCTTCGAACGTTATTCCTGAGCTATATGAGAGGGTGGGGAGATATTTAGTTGAATATTCATAATTGAAGAATAAATTGATCCAACAAAAAAAATGTTTTGTAAAAGAAATACCGAAAAAACAGTTTTATTTAATCAGTGGAGAAAAACTTTTTTTTTGGAACGACATAAGGGAAACAGAATGATCGGAATCGCCGCATTCATAGTTATAATATATGGGGACATTCCTATCAACAAAATAAGTGCCGAATCTTATGGAACTCTGGAAACGAATTTTTCTGGAAAAAACTGCAGAAACCGAAACAACGTACTTTTTGAAAAATTTTTCATATGCTTTCTGCGTTGTGGGATATGAAATATATTATTCACGTCTCGCTATGAAGGACATCTGAACGGACCCCCTGCCCTCAAGGTGCTTGCCGTGCACGCCTATACTCGTACATTTTCACAATAATACATGTGTTACATTTAATTTATTCTTCCAAAATGGGTAAGAGGCAGTTTTCAAATATTGTGAAAGTCGATTTTCTCAATTCTATTGAAGGTGGAATAACCTGTGACGAAATTCCAGGCGAATCCGTCACCTGTAATCACGTAGGGTAACTACCTAGCGTAAGGGCGAGAGAGAACCGCGGGAATTTAATAAAAAAG